ACATTGTCATTTTCTTGCTTAAGTAAAACTGAGGGTTTTTTTTTTTTTGCTTGTTTGTTTTTTTTTAAGTCTTTCTTTCTTTTTTGCCGTAAAAGGCATTAAAAAATACTAATGGAAAAATACCTCTGAAATTCTAAGTGACCAAATCTCCTTTTTTATTTTTGTTAAAGATGTCTGCGTGGAGCAGACAAAGCAGTAAGATGTGCGGATTCAGATGTTATTAATTACATCTGCATCCCCCACAGCAATATATTTTGAACTGCAAGGAGCCTCAGTGGTCGTTTGTGGTGGAGCCAGGACCAGAATCCTGGACTCCCAGTTCTGAGTTCAGCACACAGCCCACTTTATACAGTGCTCCCCAGCGGGTCACAGAGCCGGCTTCAAAGAAGCCTCGCCAACCCCACAACCGACACTGGAAGAACAGAGTCACCATGAAGCCATTTGGATTCTGACTGTGATCCTCAGATGCCACCCCATCCAAACCAAACCTCGCTCGCTGATTTCAGTTGATGCACATTCCACACCAGCGCTTCCAGCAAAGCGACCACATTGTGCTTGGCCTTGGGACCTGCTGGTTAGCTGTTCCCACCCCGCAGCCCTTCAGTAACAGCTTCCCCAACTTGGCAGTTCAGACAGCGGGTTTCCAGCCCCCTCGCCTCCCATTGCAGGCATTTTAAAGGGAGACCCTGTGATCTCCATTCATGGAAAACAATCATTTACACTTGTATAAAGTTGAAAACCTCTAGGGAGGCCATTTGGTAATTTAGCATTTTTGTTCCGTGTGAAAATATCATTTCTAGTTTATAAAGGAAAGTTCAAAAACATTGTCTCTTATCATTAAAAGCTTTTCAGAAGTGTGTAATCTGTGTCTTTATAGGTACGGGCCCTATAAAGTGCCCTGAGGAAGAGAACATGGACCTTCCTACAAAGAAATACCTTCAGTATCTTAAGTTGCTTAAGGAAAGGTCTTTAATTTACAGCTGACTTAGTCCTGCAGATAAACACTTTAAAGTCCTTGGACTCCACAGTCAGTTTTAACAAGCTTTTAAGATGAATTGGGCGTGGGTGTTACCTGTTATGTTGTGATGACTGTAGAATCCAAGAAAAGAACACACAATTTCATCCATTCCCATGGTCTGCACCAGACTCTCCCAGAAAGTTGGACAGCATATAGCTCTGACCCTCTGGACCTTACACTCCAGGGCAGCCCGCAGGGTTTGACGGTGCCCTGAAATCATGCAAAATGCATGTCCACCCAGGACTAGAGTGTAAGTTTACTGGGAACTAGGGTCTCTGCTGAAGGAATTAAGATGTCTCGATTAAGAAGAGGTCAAATAGGATGATGGTGAATTTTAAATCCAACCCCTAGTGTTCCTAGACCAGGAAGAGATAACACTAAGGCACCGGTACATGTTGGGGAGAAGAGTATGGGAAGACACGCTGGGACCCAGGGAAAGCCAAGGACTTACAGCGACAACAAGAGGCCAGAACACTTCCTCTTTAGAGCTCTGGGGGAACCCATCCCTCCCAGCAAAGCCTTCACATGGGGGCTTCACCTCCAGAACTGTGAGAGCAGATCTCTAGTGTTCCAAGTCATTCATGCGGGGTTCTTTGATAGGGCACTTCTGGGAAATGAATAGGAGAGAGCCTCAACAAGTTCATGGCAAATGGAATTCATAGACAAGTTGATTTAGCTGCAGAAAAAAAAATGTTGAAATCCATGCATGCCATGGCTATTCAAAATGTTCACAGGAAATGTGTATGATTGAAAAACTGCATGGATTTCCAAGTTTTTTTGGCAGCAATATTAACGTCTTTTAATTCCATTTGTTCTACAAACTTTGAAGAGCCCTACAACAAGTCCTATTTGCAGTCCAGTTGGGCACCTATATTGTTAGAAAAGCTTCCCATGTAATTTGAATATTTGAGAAGCATCACTCTAGATTAGTGGTTTTCAAAGTCTTTATTAGAAACAGCATCAACGAGGAAGTTATTAGAAATGAAAATTTTCAGGCCCCACACATGAAAATTCTCAGACCTTCAAATCAAAAACTTGGAAGGGGCCTCCACTAGTTTACAGTTTAAGAACATTTCCTGGTGATTGTGATGCCTGAATGTTTGAGAAACGCTGCTCTGGTTGACATGGATGAGCAATGGAAGATAACCAGCAAACACATCCGGGGCTATATAATAATCCAGAAGGTTCTAGAGAGTAAGCAAAGAATGCATATGAAAACTCCCCACCACACTTGGAGTTCCTTAGAGGCCAGCATCTCAACATACATCTTGCAGGTGCAATTTGGGAAGACAAGCTGTTTTCTCATTATGGGTATGGGGCTACCCTAACCGTTTGCCACTATTATAGCTACCCTGACCTATCTACCCTGAGGCACAGGAGGAGATCAATTTGAACACTTCATATCAAAAACTTCATCGAAGCCAAGTCTGTCCTTCAATTATTAAATAACTGGCTCACTTTGCCACTTCCCTGACCACAGCTCAGAGAATGAAACAGGCCAGTACATTTCATTGTGGTGTGGAGTTCGGTTCTTTGCCATAATCAAGCTACGTGAGCGTGCAGTCAATTGCTGCAGAGGGGTGTAGCTGCAAGTTGTGCGCCCACTTGAAATGCTTTGCTAAAATCCACATGGCCAATGCTTGCTAAAGAAACTGTCAGCCATCAGCTGTTTTTGACCTTTGATTAGATGAATGGCTTAAGAATCCAATTTAAATATTTTCATTTGTTTCTTTTCCATCCTTTGCAGGTCGCACTGACAAAAGTTGCTCCCATTGTAGCTACCTAGCAGTGTACAGCACAGGTCTCTTCTGTCTTATGCCTTGGTCATGCGCTTAAGCTTAGAGTACAATTTCCACAAGCACTAAGGGACAAAACATTTGTTTTTCTTATAACTCTTTCTGCCACTTAAGGGGGCCTTAGAAACAAACTGGCCCTATCAGGAAAGAATCCACTTCTCGGTTCTAACTGACACTGGCAAAAATTATTCAGCAGAGTAAGTGAGACTTTGAGGACCCCTTTGAGGCATTTGTCTTTGTGGGGCTCTTCCCAGGCACCCAGTGGGCTGCAGATGACCTAAGTGAGTCACAGGGAGCCCCAGATGACTGGAGTGACAGGGGTTACTCTTGCTAGAAAGTAAAGTAATATTTTAATGCATATTAAGTGCAGATATCTTTTTGTAAGATAAAATGTTGAAAACAAACAAACAAAAAATTGAATCTCTTTCAATGGTGCCTGCCCAGGCTTAGTCTGGGCGGATCTGCCTGACTTGTAGAGTTGCCACAAAGCAAGTGGTAGCCCACTGATGTTGAAACTAAGATGCTGTTTCTTCAGTTTTTATGTAATTGGCATGAATGTACATATTTATGAAGTACAAGAAGATATCTGAGTGCATATGTACATTGCATAACTATAAACTCAGGGTAATCAGCAAATCCTTCATCTCAAATGAATTTCTTTGAAGTGATAACAGTCAAAATCCCCTCTTCTACCTCTCTTGAAATACACAGCGCATCATTATTATCTGGAGTTGCCCCACTGTGCCCTGACAAACCAGTGTTTACTCTTTCTTTCCAGCTGTAACTTTGTTTACCAGCCTCCCCCAACACCTCCCAACTCTCCACAGCTTCCTATACTTACTACTCTGCTCTCCACTTTGATGCGATCAATCTTTTCTTATTTTAATTTTTTTTGGAGAGTCTGCATATAAGTGTGGCTATGCAGCACCTGTCTTTCTCTATGTGACGTATTTCACTTAACACAATGTGCCCCTGGTTCATCCCTATTTTTGAAAAATGACAGAATTGCATCCTTTTCTGTGGATGACTAAATTCCATTGTGTAATAAACCACGTTCTTGATCTGCTCATCGGCTGATGGACACCTGGGTTGATTCCATACCTTGGCTATTGTAATTAGCACTGCCGTAAACACGGGTGTGCAGATGTCTTTTTGACAGGCTGATTTCATTTCTGGAATACCTGAAGATTCTTGTGTTGCATCTCACACCTTCCGAATCAGTCTCTGTAGCTGGGACTCAGAAATGCAGATCCAAACAACTCTCTTAGACAGTGATTTGGTGCAATGGAGATGGAGAGTCTCTGTTGTCATGGAAACAGCCCCAGATGCAGAGTCTACAGGGCATATTTTTAATCTCTTCTCCGACGTGCATCAAGTGCTCCTAAACAGTGCCTGCTGCTTGTTTTCAAACTTAGTTTCCTCACTGTCAGATGCAAATGCCACTTGCCCTGCTTGCCTGGGAGGGGAGGCGTGAGGCTCAGATGAGTTCAAGTCTCCACATACTACAGGGTGGGCACTGCAGTCAGGTGAATGGAATGTTCACCAATGGACACAGTCTTCACGGGACTACCAAAAACCCTATAGCCGGGAACTATCTAAGTGCAATAGTTCAGAAAACATGAGAATCGATGCAAACATTTGACAATGAGCAAAACATCAAAGTTCTCGGTAGAAACAGGATCTGTATTACTAGTTTCTCTGTGAGCTTCATTGACACCATTGTTGCTGTTGAAACTGGATGTTCATCGTTGTTTCATTTTGTATTAATTGCAATGTTTGTAAAAGGCATTTCCATAAGTTTTGGTGGGTTTATTCCCTGATTGTTAAAAGGTACTCTCAACTTTTGCACCTGAGGCTCGTCTCCGGCCTCACTGCTCTCACCTAGCCTCAGTCCTTCATACTGGATGGCTTGTGCTTATACATGTACAGGTTGTCACCTACAGCTGGCTAGGATGCTTCCAGCCCCAGAATATTCTCAGGTAATTCCAAGCGCTTGTCTAAAAGTCCCATGGGCATGCTTGCTAAAGCCCCTGTTGAATTGTGGGCATGTAAGTCTTAGGATCCTCAGGTAGGCCTAGGCCTGCACGCAGTGCTTGCTTTCCAAGGACCACATGAACTCTTCATAGAGATGTTTGGTATGAGAAGCAGTTCAATTTGTCTAATTGGGAATTCTGTCCTTGTTTTAGGGAGAGCCTCTCCAGGAGCAGCACACCCCCCCTAGGAAATTTGGACTTTCAAGTTGCTTTATCCATACCTTACTGCATTGCCAAGGCTGCTCCTGTGCACCCAGAGCTGGCCTCAGTCCTGTTGGGCTAGAGGCAAGAAAATGGACACGGGTCTGGATAGCCAATGACTGGACATGGAAGGATGGCTAAGGGCCTGCAGGTGGCTGATGGAGGAATCAGGGCCCTGCTCTCCATGCTGCTGCTGGCTCCCACCTCGAAGACATGGGCCAGGGGGAGCCAGGGGCTTGCATCTGCCCCTCCATACAGCTTGAAAGGACTGGAACAAAGCCTTCTGTTTCTCTCAAGGGAGTGTTATGTGTGCAGTATTTGCTGTAAAGGGAGAAAAGGACAAGAACTCTTCATGAGCAACCCGGCCCAGCAGCCTATGGCACTCTGGAACCAAGAGAGCAAGCAAACAACCTTAGTAGAACAACAAATAAACTGAGATGCTCAACTACAGAGCTACAACTCAGAGGACATGGACCTTCCGTGCTAGCAGATGACAGCCCAAAAGGGAAGAAAGGTAGGAACAAAATTAACTCTTCATATCATAATAGCAGTTATTCAAAGTGGAGACCAGTGATGCTAGGACATCCTCAACTTGTCAAGTGATATCTGCCTTTCTTTCAGTGCTTTTCTCTTCCATGTATAATGATCCTTAGAGTACCCTGTCATGCAGTTTATCACTCTGAAAAACCTTGGGGGAGTAAACTCAATAATTTCCCCTCTCCACACCCTTATCCCTGAAAGCTGTGAACACATTGCCTTACAGGGGAAAAGGAATTTTAGCAATGTGACTACCTTAAGGATGGCAAGATGGGGGAGATGAATTTGGTTTAGCCAGGTAACAGGCTGAGACAGAGGCCAGAGGATCTGCAAGAGCAGAAAGAGTTGGAAAGATAGTCCAACTCAGGTGGTTGGAGGGAAGAGAAGGGAAGCTGAAAAGTGCTAGGAAACAAATTCTCTGCAGAAGACTTCAAAGAAGAAACCCAGCCCTGCAGACACCTGATCTCTACAACTGTAAGAGAGTAAGTTTTCCTTTCTGTAAGATGCTATATTTGCAGTAACTTGTCAGAATCCGAAAGTTAATACAGTGAGAAAGTGTTGACATCGGTCATTCTGACTTTTTAAAATTGTGCCTGGCGTTAAGAAGCAGTGGTCTTGTCTTGCAGGTTATTTGGTGGCAAATGTTCAGAGCCAGCAAAACACTTATTTTTGCTGTGTATTTGGAGAACTTCAAAGCATTTTTTAAGTTGAAGTTGGCATACTGCATGGGCCTGCCCCTTTGGCAGATACAGTCAGGCACTATAAGATACACATGTTTTCTGTCTTAATAGGAATAACAGCTAACTGTGGCTTATGGCATTTCCATTGCTGCCAGAGTTAGACAGATTAAGAAGTTGGATTCCAGTTACTTAAATCTTGAAATCTAATGTTTGCAGCTTTATGAGTAAGGTCATAAAACAAATAAATGTAGAGGGATAGCTTTGTTTATGGTAATGGGATTTTTTTATGTACCCAGTAATGTCAATGAAATATAGTCACTTGGACAAGTTGGAATGTGAGGGCATTCTCATTGTGGATGCCATGCTAGCCTCTGGATCCACTTGTGTTCATACTGTTTCTGTTTATGGTGGTAAAAGCACTGGCTAGTTTGTAATTCTCTACAGGCTCTGAGTTTGACTCAGAGCATGGATCGTGGATTGGAGAACACACTTGGTGACTAAGGACGAGACTTTGAGATACAGACTACCAGGTTTGCATCCCACACCCACTGCATATTAGCTGTGTTTTCTTGGACAGTTTCCCCAATATTTGTATGTCAGTTTCTTCACCTCTAAAATGAGGATAACCAGACCTCCCTCCCAGGATTGGCGTGAGCGTTAAATAGTTTAATGTGCATGGAACACATCCAAATGGTGCTTGGCCCCTACTTTTTATCTGTAATCCTCAGACCACAACTCTTCCCATGGATCCAATTATCCCCCACCCCCATATTCTTATTGCCAACACTTTGAAGACAGACCTGCTGCCATCTAGGTAACTTCCATAATCTGATCTGAGCAGGAAGAATTTGTTAGGGATGGAAAGATCAGATCATATAGTGTCCAGGTCATGTTGAGGGTCATTATTTCTGGCTCTCTGTCTTCCAGACACAAGGTACTCCTTGGCCCTGTGTGTGGCCAAGTGGTCTGTGTAATTACAAACATTTAATTTTTAAGATATTCTACCGCTATTCCCTTTTACCACTGCAACTGACAGAATACCAGATTGTTGTTTTTCCATCATCCAATCCAAAGATGGAAACAAGGAAAATCCCTAACTTGCAGAAAAAAATAGGCGTTTGTAGTTTTAATTCTTTGGGATTTGATAGCTCTTCGCATTGTGCTGCAACTTTGCCAATCCTAACTGACACAATTGCCATTGAATGACCTCATGGTTTCCCCACTCCTAAAACTGTATCAACGGCAGCTTGACGATGGGCAGCAGATGCTGGAAAGAGATGTCTCTAAAGTCAGTGGCTAAACCTCTCTCTACTTTGGTTTTCCCTTTCTTCAAAGTGGACATAAATAGGACCTTCCTCATGGAGTAATTATGCAAATGAAAAATGTTAAATGAGTACTCAAAGGAAATTTCAAAGGTATTTTCAGGGCACTTATCCTAGAGCATGATATCGCTAGTCAGTGATAGCTCCTTTTATAAGCAAGAGGGAATTGGACAAACCAGGACATTCTCCTGAGCACTACCTATGGCAGTGTTCTCTCCCAAAGATCCAACTTTGAACTAAAGATGAGCAAATCACCTAACCGGACAGGTTAAGCTGTTCCAGTGGCCTGTTCTTCTTGGCTGCAAGTTAGCTGTCCGTCAGCTGGCTATCTGTAACAAACCCTCACAAGGATGGGATCTCTGTGCTAGATGCCTTCGAGTTTCTTCTACTGCTTCTAACACTGTGCCTTGGAGATACTTGGGAGTTTTATTTACTTGATTGTTTTGAATACTAACCAGCATCAAGTGTCTGCCACACTCACTGTCATAAGGCTGTAATCCTCTGAGGTTGATGATGTGAACTTGCTTGACTAGACACAACAGGTGCCACCATGGTGTTTAAAGAATGCTGTTTTTTAAGACCAGATGGACATCTAATGGAACTACTTGTGTAGGAAGTCACTTGAGAATTCTTTCCACTGACAACTTTATAAAACAGGTTACAAAAATATATATAAAGTATTAATCTCTCATGTGCAAAGATGACATGGAAAAGAACCCGATGGAAGTGAGCATTTGGAATGGTGGTTAGGGGGTCTACATCCCACTGGGGAGCACCCAGGGTGAGTTTTGACTCTGCTCTCAATTCTAGCTTTCTGTTAAGGGAAACCCTGGTAAGGAGCAAATGACAAGTAATGTATTTGGGTCACTGCCTTACACACAGGCAACCCAGATTCATCCTGACCAAGCCCTGCTACTGTGAGCATCTGGAGAATGAATCAGAGGCTGGGAGATGTCTGTCTTTGACTGCTTTTGAATAGATAAAACGGTTTAAAAATACTTTTACACAGGGAGGCTGATGTTGTACAGTGAGTTCAGCTGCCACCTACAATGCTAACGTTTAATATGAACGTTAGTTCAAGTCCCAGCTGCTCTACTTCTGATCCAACTCTGCTATTGCACCTGGGAAGGCAGTGGAAAATGTCTCAAGTGCTTTGGCCTTATGCTAGCCAATACCCTGCCACTCATACTGGAGACCTGAATGGACTACCTGGCGCCTGATTTCAGCATGGTCCAGCTCTCACAGTTGTGACTATTTGAAAAGTAAACCAATGAAAGGAGGAACTGTCTGCATCTCCTCTCTCTCTTTCTCTCTCTCTCTCTCTCTGTGTGTGTGTGTGTGTGTGTGTGTGTGTGTGTGTGTGTGTGTGTCTGTAAGTTGCATTACAAGCAATTAAGCCTTAAAAAAGAAAAAAAGAAAAAGAACCAGATGGAAATATTCCAAAATGTTAGCAGTTTTTCCTGGAGAAAATGATTATGAGTGACATATGCAATATGTTCCATAGACCTAAGCAAGAGGTATTTTAGAGAGCCCCACATACCACAACCACACACACTTATTAAAGATTCCTGCTGAACAAGGATCTTTTTACTTGTTGAGCTTTAAACCTTTATTTAGTGGAGCATTAAGCCTTTGACTATCATGTAAATGAAAAATGTGTTGCTTTAAAAAAATGTAAAAAGGAAGAAAAAGGGAAGGAAGGGAAGAGGAGGGAAGGATGATTATATTCTTGGAATTATATTTGAGTTAGATAAAATCAATTCTTTTTATATTTAAAAACAAACCAAGTTCAGTGGACATGTGGGAACCTCTTCCACTGAGCCTGCAGGGCTTGGGGCTGGCCAGCACAGTCCCGGACACATGATACCCGAACTCAGGGCCCACAGTTCAAGCCCAGAGACAGGCACCTCCAGGTCTCCGTCACGCCCAGATTCCCTGTCTTTGGAGGACCGTGGGTTGTGAGAACTTGACTTTGGGAGGCCCAGACGCTGTGAAGGGAAGAGGGCCTGGTCACTCCTCCCCGTGCTGGGAAGCTTTTCTCCTGCTTCTCCTCTTGCTCTATTTCCTGATTTCACACCACCAAGCATCACATTCAGAAAAGTCACTTACGGTGAATTAGGAGCATTTTACAATATTAGTATTTCTGTTTACTCTTAAATTTTGCAAATCTGCCTCACAGCCATGTCATATCCCCAGTGCTTCGCGTTGATAACTGGGAGGGACACAGCCCACTTACCATGTGAATAGTGTTATCATAAAAATAAGTAAGATTAAAGTATCATTTAATAATAAGTAAAATATTGACATTGTTATCATTTCCATTTTAACTTTTAAAGTTAATGGACAATTTTGAACATTTATAAAGAAAAATTGGGGAAGTATAAAATCACTTTTTATTTGCTCTATTTCTTTTATATTCAACTACTTTTGGCATCAAAATTATATTTATTCAGCCTAATCAAGAAAGATAATTTTACTGGGTGCACAGTTCTTTTCTTCTTGAATGATAATTTTGACTTTGAAAGATAATTTTACTGGATCTGATGTTGTTTTCTTTGATAAACTTGTAGGGAATATTCTACTTCCCTGTGGCTTCACTGTTGCTTATGAAAAGCCCTCAGTAAGAGGAGACAGCAATCACCAGGGCATAGAACATAGAATGTGCGGTGTTTCTCCATGTCAGGGACTTTTTGGGGCTACAGTTATGTCAGTTCATCTTGATGTCTACACTGCGAAGTTGTTACTATCACGATTATTCATTTTATAGGCATGGAAACTGAGGCCGTCAACCAGAAAGCCTAGAAGTCGGGCAGACTAACTCCAGGGTCTGTACGCTTAACCATTTGACTCTCCCTTCATAGCTTTCTGATTTACTCTCTCCTTCTAATTTGTTTCCTTTGACTTTAGTTTTTCTGTTAGTTCATAATGTTTTGAGGAATAGAACTTTCTGTTTACACTACCTGAGATTTGTGTGAAATCCCACACTTCATGTAAGCTGCTATTCCACAGTTCTGGAAGGTTCTCTGATGCTATCCCTTTGGACGCAGGCTTTTCTCCTGCCTCTCTCACTAGGATCCAGCAGATGTGCCAGAGAGCACC